AGTGATTCTATTAACCAGTTTTAGGGAATTAGGAAACTTTAAAAAATACAGATTTTGGCCACCATGGTGGTTCACATCTGTAATCCTAGCACTTTGGGAGGCTAAGGTGGGCGGATTACCTGAGGTTAGAAATTCAAGACAGCCTGGCCAACATGGAGAAACCCCATCTCTACTAAAAATACAAAAATTAGCTGGGCAAGGTGGTAGGCACCTGTAATCCCAGCTATTCTGGAGGCTGAGGCCGGAGAGTCACTTGAACCCAGGAGGCAGATGTTGCAGTGACCCGAGATTGTGCCATTGCATGCCTGCCAGGGCAACAGGAGCAAGACTCCGTCTCAAAAAAAAAAAAAAAAATGTGGATTTTAGGACGGTTGGTCATAGAAACCAATTAAAAAGACCTGAAATTCAGTTCAAATAGTTCAAATAGTTTCCTTCTTATCAAGTTCTGTCAAGGCTATTTTGAGTCATGTTATCCCTTGCCACTCCTTAAGAAACATCAATGAAATAATGACTATGACTACGCAACCTCAGTGAAATAATAACCTCACATAATTGCTTTTGAATTTGCTTAATGGCTTTTGGGTCAGCCTTAGGGTACTTGTTTATCCAAAACAATTAATAATTTCTAATTATGCCTGGAGTCACCTTTTTTATTTTGGGAGATGAGGTATTCCCTTTCCCATAACTGAGTGATTATCATGGCATCAGTAATTCAGGGCATCCCCACACTAGACTCATACAAAATGCACCACAATGATATAGTTTAAAAGTACTTTGAATAAGACGTTATTTTTTAAAATATCTCATCACTATTATATTTCATTTGTAAGCCAAGAAGACTAAAACCAATTAAAGTTGATGGTTAAATTTGAAATATATCTGTGACGTACTGCTATGTTCAATACATAAGCAAGTCCCTGACTTATTCCAGTAATCAGTCTTTCAGTTATTTTCCTCTTTATAGCGCTACAAGACCCCTAAAGCATGGCTAACTATCTTCAACTTAAGCACTTCAGGCAATAAGTAGCAAAATCACTAACACAATTATGATGATTAAAGTGTTCATTTTAAAATGATGACATCTACTTATAATCAGCGTGACAATAGCTTTTTTAGTAATTTAAATTGTACGGCCGTGGCTTTAGAATTAACCTGCATTGAGGAATTTGTTAAAATATTTAATAAGATAATAAGCTAAATTAACATAAATATTTAAGGTAAAGAAATAATGCTTTAAGTCATTCTTTCAAAATAAAAGTAATTATATTTTCTTCTTTAGAAACATGTTTTATTCACATGTTAATGTATTATTAAATCTTGTGGAAAAGGCTCTCAATAACTCACTTTTTGTTTTTTGGTGTTGTAATGATTTTTTTACAAAGCTTATTGGAATAGGGAAATGTTCCTGTTTAGCATGTCTGGTCTATAGAAAAATAACAATTTTTATTGACTTTTATTAGGACAAACACCTGTAGTTTAAGGAAAACATGATATAATCCCTGTAGGTTGTGGTTATTTTTGGTTAGCTTAGCTCATTTTCTGTTTCCTATTCCCAGTGCCAATCCCCTGCAACCACTGTCTCCCCAGAATAATACAGAAGAGGAAACATACTGTTTTACTTGATCCATACCTACCTCCTTCAAGCTCTTGAAACTTTTTAGCCAGGTAGTACATTATTGTTTCCTTCCCCCACAAAAAGACTCATAGCGAGACAAAGTGGTGTATACCTGTAGTGCCAACCACTCTAGAGGCTGAGGCAGGAGGACTGCGTGAGACCGGTAGTAGTGTATTGTGACCACACCTCTGAATAGCAACTGTACCCCACCCTGTGCAACATAGCAAAAACTTGTCTTAAAAAGAAAAAAAAAAGCCAATATTTGACCTCTCTAGCCCTTTCTCCAGTGCTTTCTATCTATCCTAATCTAGACCATTCAATTCTCTGTTAAATAAGTATCATTTTATTTTCCTGCCACCTTGTCTTTGGTTGTAATTTTGTTGCTGCTTCTTCCTGGAAGGGTCTCACACATTCTTCATCTAGCTTCTTCTCGTTAAACGATATTAATACCAATCTTTCAAGATCTAGGCAAAAGCTACCTATTTCCAAATACCTTTGCCACTACAGCCAGAAATAATCATCTCTAAACTACCATTGCACTGAATTTATATCACCTGCTCACACATCTATTAAAAGTATAATTGCTGAATGCCTATTATGTGCTAGGAAACCTTTAGGTACTAGGGATCACTGCCGAACAAAGTCAGATTGTGACCTCATGGAAACATAAAGTCACTGCTAGTGGCATTCATAAACTAACATTTATTAGAGTTATATGTGTTTTTCTCCCCTCCAAGCGCATTAACTTTCTGAAAGTGGGAATAGTGTTCTATTCATCTTTGTATCCTCACAGTGCTTAGGACAGTGTCTGGAATGTAGTAGATGGATGATTGATAAATTGATCTTACTGTGTGGAGAAAACATGCTCCATTTCATTTGAGTACCTTTGGAAGCACAGGTGGCCCCTGATTTACTGGCTTATACTTATCCCACTATGTGATCCTTCTCTATCTTTAGCCTGTATTCAGTCTCTATTATTAGTAGCTTATGAGTTATTGTAAAATAACTTAGAGTTTTTAAAGAGTGGGAATGGGACTTCAGAAGGTTAAGGAGAAGTTTGAAATAAATTAAGAGGAGTAGCCAAAATAAATTATCTGAAATACAAATCTGAACACTCCATTTTCATATTGACAACTATTTATAGAAAATATTTTTTAGGATAAAACCTAAGCCAATTAACATACCTTACCAAGACTTGCATAAAATAGACTCTGCCAAGTTTTTCAATTTCATTTCTCCCATTCTTTTTGCCTAGCTAATTCCTGCTTAGCTTTAGCAGTTCTGTTTCCTGCAACAAAACACACTTAAGTTTTCTTTTAGGGAACCACCTTTCCCCTATTCTCAACCTTGTGGTCTGTGAAATTATAATTGACTGTCTGAAGTTAACTTGGGGTACCTCATCTCCTGTATCCATTAACAGACACTCCTCATTTCCCCCACAGTCCCCAGCTGTAGGCAATCACAAATGTATTTTCTATCTCCATACATTGTCTATTGTGTAGATTTTATATTAATGGACTCACACAACAGAGATTTTTGTGATGACATTCTTTCAGTTGGCATAACATATTTAAGGTTGATCCCTGTCATAGTGTGTGTCAGTACTTTATTCTTTCATAGGACTGAAAAAAATATCATTGTATGGGTAGATCATATTTTATTTATCCCTGGACATTTGAGTTTCTTTCACTATTTGGCTATTATGAATTCTACAATGAACAACCATGTATAAGTATTTGTGCAGATATATGATTTCAGTTATCTTGGATATGTACCTAGAAATGGAATTGCTGGTTACATGGTAAATCTGTTTAACTTTTTAAGGCACTAACAAACTGTTTTTCAAAGTGGCTACAGCATTTTACTTTTCACAATGTGTGAGGGTTCCAATTTCTTCACTGACTTCTTGACAACAACTGCTATTATCTGTCTTTTTAATGATAGTCATCCTACTGGGTGTCAACTGGTATCTCATTATAGTTTTGATTGACATTTCTCTAATTACTAATGATGTTGAGTATCTTCTCTTCTGGTTAGTAGACATTTGTATAACTTTTTGGAGAAGCATCTATTCAAATCTTTTTTTCATGTTTTTTAAAATAAGACAACTTTTAGAGCAGTTTATATTTGCTGCAAAACTATGTGGAAGGTAAAGAGATATTTTATATAACCCCTGCCCCTACACATGCATGGCTTTCCCCACTGTCAATATCCCTCACCAAAGTGATACATTTATTGCAACTTGAACCTACATTGACACATCATTATTCCCAGAATCTTAGCTTTCACTCTTGGGGTTGTAAATTCTATGGATTTGGACAAATATATAATTATGTGTATTTACCATTACAGTATATAGAGTGGTTTCAATGACCAAATATTCTCTGTGGTCTGTCTGTTTATCCCTGTTCACTCTATATCCTCGCCATCACTGATTGTTTTACTGTCTCCATAGTTTTGACTTTTCAAGAGATTTATGTAGTTGGAATTATATAGTATGTAGCCTTTTCATATTGGTTTCTTTCACATAGTAAGTAATGTTTACTTATGTTTCCTCTCTGTCTTTTCATAGTTCATTCATTTTTGGCATTGAATAATATTCCATTGTCTTCTCCCTTCACTTTTTTACTTTTCCCATTTCATTTACTTTTCTCTTTTCAATCTGGATGTCTTCTATTTCACTTATTTGTCTAATTGTCCTGGCTGGAACCCCCAGTACAAGGTTAAATAGAATAGGAAGATTCTGAGTCTGTCCCACAGACTCTGGCTGAGTGACAAATGAACAGAGTATGCAGACACAGACTTGCCTGTTAGCATGACTAGGGGACCCCTGCCAGAGTCAGTAGCAGCTGGTAACACTTGCATTTATTTAGTAAAGATGTCATGATGAAGACCTAGAGCAAACACCATTTATGGGTAATAAACAGTGTCGACCCCATGAGTAGAGATCAGTCTTGTGTGTGGATGATCAAAGATCAGTTTTAGGACAACATGGGTAAATAAGCTATTTAGATAAACTACTAGATTTGGAAGATGGGCTCAATAGAGTATAGCAGGTACAGTAGCAGGCAAAGTGAGAGAATAAAAAAGTAGCAAATTATCTGGAGTGAATAGTGTCTGTGTCCAGAGCAGGATTCACTTAGCCTCCTGAGTCATCTTCTTCAGCATCCCACAGGTGATGTTTGGGGCTTGTGTCATCTGGAGTTGCAGGTCCTGCAGGGTCATTTCCTTCGTTTCTGGAAGCAAGTTTTGTCCTAGCCACGCCATAGTATGGTTTGACACATCATGCTGGAATCCAAAGAGAATCTGAGGGGGTGTGAACACAAGCATAACCTCTTCCTCATGTAAGCAAATCATTTGGATCACACCATACATTACTATTTACATCTTTCCATAAAACTGTGGATTTTATGTCTTGAGAGGTTTTAGCAAAGTGCTTTTCTGTAGCTGCTTGAAATTTGTCATATAAATTTAAGAAATTAAGGATAAATAAGGCTTGTGCTAGTAGTGTTGCAGGGTCAGGGCCTTTACTCATATTCCCCCTTTTTTTGGTTTCTGAGCATATTTTTAAGAGTGGAGTGAACTACATTTGTAGACAAAACTACAGGAGTCTGAGGTAAGAACTGAAATAGTTTGTCAGCATGAAGGACAAGCTCTGTATGGCCTGCATAACAGAGAGTGCTATCTGAAAATCTAGAGATAGGGGCAAGACTACTTTGAATTGCTTTTTACTCAAGGGACTTCTTATGACATCAGGGTCATAACCTAGCAACAGATTTCATTGTCTGTGGCCCACATAGATGACTCTACTAACTAGCTGGATATAGAGAGATAGTGTTTTAGTCCTGGTATGTGAGCAAAACACCCGTTCTAGGAAGCATAGCCCTGGAGTCATCTGTCCTAGTAATCCTGTTGGGGAATGTTTAGCAGGAAAAACAAACAATTGAACTGAATATTTTGGGTCTGTGCAATCTTGTTGCCTCTGAGAAATATCTTGCTCTACTTCCTCAATTTCCTTTTTTGCTGCTGGGGTTAAATACCTGGGAGAATCTACGGCTGTATTTCCTTTTAAGATAGAAAACAGTTTTGCCACTTATCAGTAGTTATGCCCAAGGTAGGGCAAAGATAGTTAATATTGCCCAGTAATTTTTGATAATCATTTAAGATATGTAAGTTGCTGGTATTTAATTTAACCTTCTGAGATCTTACTGACGTGGAAGTTAGTATGTATCTAATAAGACATTTCCAAGAAGAGGACATTTGTACTTTTTCAGGTGGTATGATTAAACCTCTTAACTGTATATTCCATTGGACAGAGGCATATAAACATAAAAGTACTGGCTTTGTTGGTTCTGCTAATAAAATATCATCCATGAAATAAATAATCTTGCAATTAGGAAATTGTTTTCTCCTGGGGAACAAAGCCTGATTTACATAATACTGACACATAGTAGGACTGTTCAGCATTGTTTAAGGAAGCACTTTCCAATGAAATCAGTGAGGTGGCCTTTCATTACTGATAGCTGGTATTATAAATGCAAATTTTTCTCTGTCCTGTTCTGCAAGGGGAATAGTATAAAAGCAGTCTTTTAAGTCAATAATGACTATAGGCCAATTTTGAGGAATTGCTGCAGGGGAAAGGAGCCCCTGTTGAAGGGGCCTCATAGGTAGCAAATCAGCATTGATAGCCTGTAAGTCATGCAAAAGTCTCCATTTGCCAGACTTTTGGAAATGACAAAAATGGGAATTCCATAGGTAGCAAATTAGCATTGATAGCCTGTAAGTCATGCAAAAGTCTCCATTTGCCAGACTTTTGGGAATCACAAAAATGGGATTTCCAAGGGCTGTTAGATGGTTCTATATGACCAGCTGTTAATTGCTCCTCAACAAATTTTAGGCTTGTAGTAATCTCTCTCCCTTTAAAAGCTACTGTTCTACCCAAACAGGATTTTGAGAGAGCCACATCAGGGGTAGGGGAATTATAATAGTGGCCGTTATTAGAAAGAAGTCTGCTCTTCACATAATTGATCAAATTCTGCCCTCCAGAGGAGGTATTGACTGGCATTTAAAGTTGTTTTAGCTAGCACTGACCAGTCCCATGGGCTCATATGGAAGTTGTCTGCTATGATCTCAATTAATCCTTTTCTAAATAGGCTAGTGGCTCTGTTTTCCCCAATGCTTTTTCTTACCTCTTTATAAGCATCAAAAGTAATGGGTTCATATGCCTGATTGCCTTGTCTATTTTCCACTACTGGGCAGGCCAAGAGTTCCCCTTCTAATTCTGCTTGCCTAACACAGGGTCCTATAGCTGTAGCATATCCCTTGTATTTTTTCCAATTTACTTGTGGAGGGGGCTCAGGGGATATTGTTGTTTCATATGTGGCACTTTTACTCAGTAATAATGGCTGAGTGAGGGGGACGAGGCAGTAAGGTAGGTGATGGTTCCTCTTCCCTTGCCTTTTTGGGCTCTTCTGTGTAGAGCATGATCAAATCAGCCCTGACTAAGGCCCATAACATTAAAGATGTTACTGGGACCCATTGCCCTTGTGCATGAATACATTTAAGATTTCTCCCCACTTGTTCCCAGAGCTCAACGTCTAGCATTCCTTCTTCCATGAACAGGGTTATGGGAAACAACAGTTTGCATTAGGTCCCTCAGTTGAGCCTGTGAAAGTGAGGCTCTGCTAGCTTTAATCAGCTGTTTCAATACTTTTATATACTGTTTCTGTTGTGCTGATAACTGTTGTCCCATGATGAAACCCTAGTTTGAACAGTTCCCTCGAAGTTGGAAATCCCGAGTGGGCACCAATAACTTGCTGACTTACTGACTGTGCAGTCTCTTCTTCATTTTCAAGGTTTTTGCTGTGATCCATTGCAGCATTCATCATGTGGGCACACCAGCTGCCATATCTGTCCCACAGACTCTGGCCAGGTGACAGATGAATGGAGTAAACAAACAGTCTTGCCTGTCAGTGTGGCTAGGGGAACCCTGCCAAAATCAGCAGCAGCCTTGATAAGCTGGCAACACCTACATTTTTTTAGTACAGATTTAAGACAAAGGCCTAGAGCAAACACAATTTATGGGTAATAAACATTGTTAACCCCCAAATAGAGAGCAGTCCTGCAAGCAAATGATCAAAGATCAGTTTTAGGACAATGTGCATAAACAAGCTATTTAGATAAACTCCTCTACATTCCTTTGTTACCTGCTATTTGTTGTTAGCTCAAGGTAAGAGGATTAGGCTGCCTGCAGCCATAATCCTTTCCCAAAGCTTTTGCAAAACCTTCCAGCCTTCTAAGAAGGTTCGCATCTTTCCTATAATTTTTCCCACCACCCAGACCAATATCCTACAGGCAGAAGCACAGACATCCTTGTCTTATTCCTGTTCTTAGGTTCTCAATTTGAAAACCTTTAGTTTTTCACCATTAAATATGATATTACCTGGGGGTTTTTCTTAGATACCCTCTTTCAAGTTGAGGAAGTAGACTCTGTGTCTAGTTTTCTTAGTTTTTGTTTGCTTTTAATCATGAATGGGCACTGGATTTAGTCAAGTGTTTTTTCTGGTCTATTGACATAATTATATGGATTTTTACTATTTATTAAAATGGTGGACTACATTAGTTAATTTTCCACTTTAAACGAGTCTTAAATTCTTGAAATAAATCCCATTTGATTGTGGTCTGTAATTCTTTTTATATGTTGGCTAGATTTTGTTTGTTAACATTTTTAAAAGAATTTTTGTGCCTATATTTGTAACAGATAATTGGTATTTAGTTTTCTTTTCTTGTGATGTGTTTGACATCTGGGTAGTGCTACCCTCATCAAATGAGTTAGGAGGTGCTCCTTTGTTTTCTGTGTTTTAGATGAGGTTTTGACAATTGGTATTAATTTTTTCTTAAATGATAGAATTTACTAATTAAGTAAGCTAGGCTTTCCTTAGTGGGAAGTTTTACAATTACATATTTCATCTCATTATTTATTATTGCTCTGTCCAGATTTTTTATTTCCTTGACTTAGTAGTTTGTGTCTTTTCTGGAACTCATGTTTATCATCTAAATTATCTAATTTGTTGACATATGGTTGCTCATAGTATTTCTTTTTAATTTTTTCAATTTTCATAATGACTGAAATGTTCTTCCTTTCAGTGCTAATAATTTGAATCTCCTCTCCTTTTTTGTCAGTCTAGCTAAAGTGTTGTAAATTTTGTTCATCAAGGAACCAACCTTTGATTTTATTAATTTTCTCCATAACTTTTATATTGTCTATTTTGTTAATTACCACTCAATATTTATTATCTCCTTTACTTTACATTGTTTACATTGTTTTGCCTTTTAAACAATTTCTTAAGATGGAAGTTAGCTTTCATAGTTTACGTATTATTTTTTAAGTTTAGGCATTTGCAGATTTACATTCTCCACTAAGGACTATTTTAGCTGTACTCTATAAGTTTTGGTATGTTGGAGTTTTTATTTTTATTTCTCAAGGTATTTTCCTATTTCTCTTTTTTTTCTTTGGTCCATTTATTATTTGAGTTTTTTTAAATTTCCACATATGTATACAATTTATTTTTGTCATTGATTTCTGATTTTATTCTATTGTGGTCAAAGAACATACTTTTTTTTTTTTTTTTCCAAGGGATACATGTATGTGTTTGTTACCTGGGTATATTGCAGATGCTGAGATTTGGAGTATGAATGATCCCATTGTCCATGTACTGAGCATAGTACTGAATAGTTAGTTTTGTAACTCTAGCCTCTCTCTCAACCCCACCCTGCCTCTAGTAGGCTCTAGTATATATTGTTGCCATCCTTATGTCAACAAGAACGTAAAGTTTAGCTCCCACTTATAAGTGAGAACATGCAGTTTTCTGTTTCTGCATTAATTTACTTAAGATAGTGGCTTCCAGCTGCATCTGTGTTGCTGTAAAGGATATAATTTTGTTAATTTTTAGGGCTGCACAGTATTCCATGGCATTTACATTCCAAATATTGATTATTGAATCCACCCTTGATGGCAACTAGGTTGATTCCTTGTCTTTGCAAATGTGAACAGTGCTATGATGAACGTACAAATGCATGTGTCTTTTTGGTAGACTGGTTTGTTTTCTTTTGGATATATAACTAGTAATGGGAAGGCTGAGTCAAATGGCAGTTCTAAGTTTTTTGAGAAATTTCCAAATTGCTTTCCACAGTGGCTGAATTAATTTACATTCCCACCAACAGTATACAAACGTTCATTTTTTTTCTGTAGCCTTGCCAGCATCTGTTGTTTTTTTACTTTAATAATAACCATTCTGACTATTATGCAATAATATGTCATTGTGATTTTAGTTTGCATTTCTCTAATGATTAGTGATAATAAGCATTCTCTAATGTTTTTTGGCCATTTGTAGTTATTTGAAGAAGTGTCTGTTCATGTTTTTTGCCCATTTTTTAAAGTGGTTATATGTTTTTTTCTTGTTGAACTTTTTAAGTTTTTTATAGATTCTGGATATTAGATATTTGTTAGATGCACAGTTTGTGAATATTTTCTCCATTCTGTAGGTTGCCTGTTTCCTTTATTGATAGTTTATCTAAGTCCAACTTATCAATTTTTTGTTATTGTTGCAATTGCATTTGAGGACTTGATCATAAATTCTTTTCCAAGGTCCATGTCCTGAATGGTGTTTCCTAGGTTTTCTTCTAGAATTTTTATAGTTTGAGGTCTTACATTTGAATATGTACTCCATCTTAATTTTTGTATGTGGTGAAAGGTACAGGCCCAGTTTTGTTTTTCTGCATGTGGCTACCGAGCTATCCCAGCACCATTTATTGAATAGGGAATGCTTTCTTCATTGCTTATTTTTGTCAATTTGTGAAAGACTAGGTGGCTGTAAGTATGTGGCTTTATTTCCAGGTTTTCTATTTTGTTCCATTTATCAATATATCTGTTTTTATACCAGTACTACACTGTTTTGGTTATTGTAGTTTTATAGCATAAAGTTGGATAATGTGAGGCTTCCAGCTTTGTTCTTTTTGCTTAGAATTATTTTGGCTGTTCAGGCTCTTTTTTGGCTCCATAAAGATTTTAGAGTAGCTTTTTTTTTTTTTTTTTTTTTTTTCAGTTCTGTGAAAAATCACATTTGTAGAGCATAGGAATAGTTTTGAATTTGTAGATGGTTTTGTGCAGTATGACCATTCTAATGACACTGATTCTTTCAATTAATAAGCATGGAATGTTTGTCCATTTGTTTGTGTCTTCTATGGTTTTTTTTTTAGCAGTGTTTTGTAGTTCTCCTTGTAGAGATCTTTCACCTTCTTGGCAGAGAACATATTTTTTATGATGTCAATACTTTCAAATTTATTAGATTTGTTTTATAGGCTGACAATAGTCCACGTGTTTTATGTGCATTTGAGCAGCATGTGTATCTTGCTGTTGTTAGGTGAAGTGTTTTAAAACTGTCCACCAGGACTAGTTGGTTTATAGTCTTATGAAAGTCTTCTGTTGTCTTGTTGACTGTCTTTTTAGTTGTTCTCTCTATTACTGAAAATGCGGTAGCACAGTATCCAGCTATTATGGTTTAATTAAGTGTATCTCTCTTAAATTACGTCTATTTTTGCTTTCTTTCTTGAATTATGTCAGTTTTTGCATCATGTGCTTTGATCTCTGT